TATCTTTTAATAGTAACTCTGAACATGAATGGGCTAAATGATCCCATCAAAAGATGCAGAGTTTTGGACTGAATAAAAAAGCAAGACCCATCTATTTACTGTCTACAAAAGACTCATTTTAGGCCTAAGGACACCTCCAGCCTGAAAATGAAAGGGTGGAGTACCATTTACCATTCAAATGGTCCTCAAAAGAAAGCTGGGGTAGCCATCCTCATATCAGACAAATTAAAGTTTATCCCAAAGACTGTAGCAAGAGATGAAGAGGGACACTATATCATCCTTGAAGGGTCTATCCAACAAGAGGACCTAACAATCATGAATATTTATGCCCCTAATGTGGGAGCTGCCAAGTATATCAATCAATTATTAACTAAAGAAAGAGATATTTAGATAACAATACGCTAACAGTAGGAGACTTCAACACGGCACTTTCTGCAAATGACAAATTTTCTAAGCACAACATCTCCAAAGAAACAAGAGCTTTAAATGATACACTGGACCAGATGGATTTCACAGATACATACCGAACTTTGCATCCGAACGCAACTGAATACACATTCTTCTCAAGTGCACATGGAACTTTCTCGAGAATAGACCAGACACTGGGTCACAAATCAGGTCTCAACCGATACCAAAAGACTGGGATTGCCCCCTGCCTATTTTCAGACCATAATACTTTGAAATTTGAACACAATCACAAGAAGAAATTTGGAAGTAACTCAAAGAGCAATTCAGCAATGTGACAGGATATAAAATCAATGCCCAGAAATCAGTGGCATTTCTATACACTAACAATGAGACTGAAGTTGGAGAAATTGGGCAGCCCAGGTGGCTCCACGGTTTAGTGCCACCTTCAGCCGAGGGCCTGATCCTGGACATCTGGGATCGAGTCCTTCGTCGGGCTCCCTGCATGGAGCCTGCTTCTCCCTCTGCCTGTGTCTCTGCCTCAATCTCTCTCTCTCTCTCTCTCTCTCTCTCTCTCTCTCTGTCTCTCATGAACAAATAAATAAAAATCTTTTTTTAAAAAAAAAGGAGAAATTAAGGAATCAATCCCATTTACAATTGTACCCCAAAGCGTAAGATAGCTAGGAATAAACCTAACCAAAGAGGTAAAGGATCTATACCCTAAAAACTACAGAACATTTCTGGAAGAAATTGAGGAAGACACAAAGAGATGGAAAAATATTCCATGCTTATAGATTGGAAGAACTAATATTGTGAAAATGTCTATACTACCCAGGGCAATTTACATGTTCAATGCAATCCCTATCAAAATGCCATGGACTTTCCTCAGAGAGTTGGAACAAATCACCTTAAGATTTGTGTGGAATCAGAAAAGACCCCGAATAACCAGGGGAATATTGAAAAAGAAAACCAGAGCCAGGGGTATCATAATGCAGGATTTCAAGTTGTACTACAGGGCTGTGATTGTCAAGACAGTGTGGTACTGGCACAAAAACAGACACATAGATCAATGTAACAGAATAGAGAACCCAGAAATGGGCCCTCAACTCTACAGTCAACAAATATTGGACAAAGCAGGAAAGACTATCCACTGGAAAAGGACAGTCTCTTCAATATATGGTGCTGGGAAAATTGGAATGAAACTAGACCACTCTCTTGCACCATACACAAAGATAAACTCAAAATGGATCAAAGATCTAAATGTGAGACAAGAATCCATCAAAATCCTAGAGGAGAACACAGGCAACACCCTTTTTGAACTTGGCCACAGCAACTTCTTGCAATATATATCTATGAATGCAAGGGAAACAAAAGCAAAAATGAACTGTTGGGACTTAAGATAAAAAGCTTCTGCACAGCAAAAGAAACAGTTAACAAAACTAAAAGACAACCTACAGAATGGGAGAAGACATTTGCAAATGACATATCAGATAAAGGGTTGGTATCCAAGATCTATAAAGAACTTATTTTTTTTAAAGATTTTATTTATTTATTCATGAGAGACACACACACACACACAGAGAGAGAGAGAGAGAGGCAGAGACACAGGCAGAGGGAGAAGCAGGCTCCATGCAGGGAGCCCGATGCGGGACTTGACCCCGGGTCTCCAGGATCAGGCCCTGGGCTGAAGGTGGCGCTAAACCTCTGAGCCACCCAGGCTGCCCCTATAAAGAACTTATTAAACTCAACAGCAAAGAAACAAACTATACAATCATGAAATGGGCAGAAGACATGAACAGAAATTTCACCAAAGAAGACATACATATGGCCAACCAGCACATGAGAAAATGCTCCGCATCCCTTGCCATCAGGGAAATACAAATCAAAACCACAAGGAGATCCCACCTCACACCAGTGAGAATGGTGAAAATTAACAAGACAGGAAACCACAAATGTTGGAGAGGATGTGGAGAAAGGGGAACCCTCTTGCACTGTTGGTGGGAATGTGAACTGGTATAGTCACTCTGGAAAACTGTGTGGAGGTTCCTCCAAGAGTTAAAAATAGAGCTACCCTACGGCCCAGCAACTGCATTGCTGAGGATTTACCACAAAGATACAGATGCAGTGAAAGACCAAAACACCTGCACCCCAATGTTTATAGCACAATGTTCATAATAGCCAAACTCTGGAAGGAGTCCAGAGGTGTCCATCGAAAGATGAATGGTTAAAGAAGATGTGGTATATGTATACAATGGAATATTACTCAGCCATTAGAAATGATGAATACCCACCATTTGCTTCAACATGGATGGAACTGGAGGGTACAATGCTGAGTGAAGTAAGTCAATCAGAGAAGGACAAACAATATATGGTTTTATTCATTCAGGGATTATAAAAAATAGTGAAAAGGATTATAGGGGAAAGGAGAGAAAATGAGTGGGAAATATCAGAGAGGGTAAACCATGAGAAACTCCTAACTTTGGGATCCGAACAAGGGGTAATGGAAGGGGAGGTTTGCAGGAGGATGGGGTAACTGGTTGATGGGCACTGAGGGGGGCACTTGATGGGATGAGCACTTGGTGTTAAAGTATATGTTGGCAAATCAAACTCCAATAAAAAACACACACACACACACACACACACACACACAAAAACCCACTGGATCGCCTCACCATTTTCATTTATTGTAAGTGTAAATATTTTAGATGGCCTTGAAAAAAAAATCAGGTAAATTTAAGCCTCATTGCACAAAATCAGGCCATTTGTTTTATGGCTCATATTCAGGACACATTACAGAGTAATTTACACATTCATTTCCTTGATTTCTTATTATAATGCATCGGTTAAAATCTCCAAGGAGGACGTTATTAATAAATACAGAACTAAGCAGTATTTTAAGTGGAATATATGGAAGTTTTAGTAGTTTGATGCTTCTCCTCTAAGGCTAAAGCTATATTCTTGCTGACAGTGCATAACACATTTCTTTGAGATTAAATTAAATCAAACAAACTCCAATTGAGGGACATTCTACAAAACAACTGGCCCCTTTAAATATGCCAACATCCCAAAATACAAAAAGAAGCTGAGGTATTGTTTCAAAGTAAAGAAAAGTAGAGACCAGACAACTAATCAGTTTTGAAGACGGAACTGTGAATTAGAGGGAGAGCATACTACAAACCAGTAACAAAGATTCTCTGCTCAACTAAACCTTAGTTGGACTCCTCTGAGCCTGATTCGGCCCCATCCTTGGGCATCACCGCCAAGAGCCCAACTTTAGCAAGAGTCCTGCTGAGTTGGTTTAACCAGAATCCCCCACTCTCAACATCTGATCCTCCTCAATATCCGACCCAATTCCTCACTGTACAACCATCCCCCAAGGGACCTCTGATCAGCAAGAACCCTACAGTCCTTGGCCAGAACCCAGCCTCCCACTGCTGCTTCATCGCTGATGCTTCCACTTGGATTTATTCAGCTCCACCCCAGCTCCTTGGCTATCTGTCCTGACTTCTCCTTGCTGTATTTGGGATCCAGCCCAGTTCTATGCTGTGGTCCCTTCCCTACTACTGCAATAGTCCCTGAGTAAAATCTGGTTGTGCTCTTCTAACTGCCGGCAGTCTTCAATAGTACTATGCTATGAAGCACAAGCAGCAAAATGTGAAGATGGACAGTATAAGAGTATTTTTATCAGTGCTGATATTTCTGAATTTGAGTTGCACAGCTTTATATTATCAAGGTTGGCAAACTTTTTCTGTAAAAGGGCCAAATACTAAACATTTGAGGCAAAGAGGGCCACATACAGTTTCTGTCACATGTTCTGTTTTTGTTTTTTACAACCCTTTAAAAATGTAAAAACCAAAATAATCATAATCATAATAATCATAAAAAATTTAAAAATACAAATAAAAAAGTAAAACCATTCTTCGCTTAAGAGCTACACGAAGCAGGCTAAGGGCTGAATTTGGCCAAGGAGCCAGATCCCTGATATAACGAATATCCTTGCTCTCAGGAAATATGCAATAAAGCATATAAGAGTAAAGGGTCATGATGTCTGCAACTTACTCTCAAATGATTCGGCAATAGTAATAATAATGATAATATATATAAGAACAATAAAATACATGGTGAAATGTTCACAATTGGTAAATCTAGGAGAAAGATAAAAGCACCTCATTATATTTCACTTGCAATTTCCCATTAAACTTGAATTTCATCAAAATAAAAGGTTACTATTTACCATAAAAAGGGCACAGATGTCCCTGGGGGTTGAAATCTGGACACATCAATGTGCAGACATGGGGCATGATTCTGGTGGCTCAAGCAGGAAAGAGAACTCTCACAAAGCAAGAGGTGTTCTGTCACCAAGGTCATTTCAATACATACCCATGTGAAATATCAGAAAGGGAGACAAAACATAGAGACTCCTAATTCTGAGAAATGAACTAGGGTGGTGGAAGGGGAGGAGGGCGGGGAATGGGGGTGAATGGGTGACGGGCACTGAGGGGGACACTTGAAGGGATGAGCACTGGGTGTTATTCTGTATGTTGGCAAATTGAACACCAATAAAAAATAAATTTATTATTAAAAAAAATACATACCCATGTGTCCAGAGGTATCTAGATTCTCCAGTCATCACCAGCAAACTCCGACGAGGCAACATAACTGGCACTGTGACACCATCTGGGTGCTTAAAATCCATGACAATCTTGAAAGAAAGATAAAAACAAAAAGATGAATCCAAGATGTCATGTACTCCTAGGACAAGAATTTTTAATTGATTCTGGCTATCTTTCTAGGTTATTAGAGATTAAAACATGACAATGCTTATAGAAGCATATGGCACAGTGGTCCTCAAACTTCAATGCACATAAAAATCAACTGAGTGGAGTGCTTAGGTGGCTTAGTCAGTTAAACGTCAGACTCTTGATTTCAGCTCAGGTCATGATCTCAGATTTGTGGGATCAAGCTCTGCATCAGGCTCTGCACTCAGCACGGAGTCTGCTTGAGATTCTCTCTCTCTCTCCCCCCGCTTCGGCCCCTCCTCCCACACACATTCTCTCTCTCTCTAAAATAATAATTAAATCTTTTCTTTAAGGTTTTATTTATTTATTCATGAGAGACAGAGAGAGAGAGGCAGAGACACAAGCAGAGGGAGAAGTAGCATGGAGCCTGCTTCTCCCTCTAGCGGCACTAAACCACTAAGCCAACTGGGCTGCCCTAAAATAATAACTAAATATTTTTAAAAAATCAAATGAGGGGAGGGGAGGGGCAAGATGGCGGAGGAGTAGGGTCCCCAAATCACCTGTCCCCAACAAATTACCTAGATAACCTTCAAACCATCCTGAAAATCTACGAATTCGGCCTGAGATTTAAAGAGAGACCAGCTGGAATGCTACAGTGAGAGGAGTTCACGCTTCTATCAAGGTAGGAAGACGGGGAAAAAGAAATAAAGAAACAAAAGGCCTCCGAGGGGGAGGGGCCCCGCGAGGAGCCGGGCTGAGGCCGGGGCGAGTGTCCCCAGGACAGGAAAGCCCCGTCCCGGAGGAGCAGGAGCTGCACCAACCTTCCCGGGCGGGCGGCAAGGGGCTCGCAGGGAGTTGGAGCAGGACCCAGGAGGGCGGGGATGCCCTCGGGCTCCCGGGGACACTAACAGACACCTGCGAGCGCAGGAGAGTGCGCCGAGCTCCCAAGGGCTGCAGCACGCACCGGAGCAGTTCGGAGGAGCTCGGGAGCGGCTCCAGGGAGGGAGCTGCGGGGCGGGAGCGCGAATCCAACAGCGCAGGCCCGGAGCACAGGGCGCCGGGACACAGCCCAGGATCCGGCCTCCCCCCGGGACAGGCAGAGGCCGGGAGAGCCCAGGACAGCAAGGACGCTCCTGCCCCGAGCTGAGCAGATCAGCGGCCCCGCCCCGGAGCCTCCAGGCCCTGCCGAGAGCCCCGAGCCCCTTAGTTCCTGCGGAGGCTGAATCCAGGCTTCCAGAGTTGCCATAGCAACTGCGGCTGATCCTCCTGAGACCTCACGGGGTAAACAACCCCCGCTGAGCCCTGCAGCAGGCAGGGGCAGAGCAGCTCCCCCAAGTGCTAACACCTGAAAATCAGCGCAACAGGCCCCTCCCCCAGAAGACCAGCTGGACGACCAGTTCCAGGGGAAGTCAAGGGACTTAAACTCTACAGAAATACTCCCCCGTGTTTTTTTTTTCTTTTCTTTTTTCTTTTCTTTTTGATTTCTGATTGCTTCCCCCACCCCCCTTTTTTTTTCACCTTTCTTTCTTTTTCTTTCCCTTTTTCTTCTCTTCTTTCCTTTTTCTTTTTTTCTTTTTTCTTTTTCTCTTTTCTTTCCTTCTCTCTCTTTCTCTCATTTTCCCAATACAACTTGTTTTTGGCCACTCCGCACTGAGCAAAATGACTAGAAGGAAAACCTCACCTCAAAAGAAAGAATCAGAAACAGCCCTCTCTCCCACAGAGCTACAAAATCTGGATTACAATTCAATGTCAGAAAGCCAATTCAGAAGCACTATTATACAGCTACTGGTGGCTCTAGAAAAAAGCATTAAGGACTCACGAGACTTCATGACTGCAGAATTTAGATCCAATCAGGCAGAAATTAAAAATCAACTGAATGAGATGCAATCCAAACTAGAAGTCCTAACGACGAGGGTTAACGAGGTGGAAGAACGAGTGAGTGACATAGAAGACAAGTTAATGGCAAAGAGGGAAACTGAGGAAAAAAGAGATAAACAATTAAAGAACCATGAAGACAGATTAAGGGAAATAAATGACACTCTAAGGAAGAAAAATCTACGTTTAATTGGGGTTCCCGAGGGCGCCGAAAGGGACAGAGGGCCAGAATATGTATTTGAACAAATCCTAGCTGAAAACTTTCCCAATCTGGGAAGGGAAACAGGCATTCAGATCCAGGAAATAGAGAGATCCCCCCCTAAAATCAATAAAAACCGTTCAACACCTCGACATCTAATAGTGAAGCTTGCAAATTCCAAAGATAAAGAGAAGATCCTTAAAGCAGCAAGAGACAAGAAGTCCCTGACTTTCATGGGGAGGAATATTAGGGTAACAGCAGACCTCTCCACAGAGACCTGGCAGGCCAGAAAGGGCTGGCAGGATATATTCAGGGTCCTAAATGAGAAGAACATGCAACCAAGAATACTTTATCCAGCAAGGCTCTCATTCAAAATGGAAGGAGAGATAAAGAGCTTCCAAGACAGGCAGGAACTGAAAGAATATGTGACCTCCAAACCAGCTCTGCAAGAAATTTTTAAGGGGGACTCTTAAAATTCCCCTTTAAGAAGAAGTTCAGTGGAACAATCCACAAAAACAAGGACTAAATAGATATCATGATGACACTAAACTCATATCTGTCAATAGTAACTCTGAACGTGAACGGGCTTAATGACCCCATCAAAAGGCGCAGGGTTTCAGACTGGATAAAAAAGCAGGACCCATCTATTTGCTGTCTACAAGAGACTCATTTTAGACAGAAGGACACCTACAACCTGAAAATAAAAGGTTGGAGAACCATTTACCATTCAAATGGTTCTCAAAAGAAAGCAGGGGTAGCCATCCTTATATCAGATAAACTAAAATTCACTCCGAAGACAGTAGTGAGAGACGAAGAGGGACACTATATCATACTTAAAGGATCTATCCAACAAGAGGACTTAACAATCCTCAATATATATGCCCCGAATGTGGGAGCTGCCAAATACTTAAACGAATTATTAACCAAAGTAAAGAAATACTTAGATAATAATACACTTATACTTGGTGACTTCAATCTAGCTCTCTCTACCCTTGATAGGTCTTCTAAACACAACATCTCCAAAGAAACGAGAGCTTTAAATGATACACTGGACCAGATAGATTTCACAGATATCTACAGAACTTTACATCCAAACTCAACTGAATACACATTCTTCTCAAGTGCACATGGAACTTTTTCCAGAATAGACCACATACTGGGTCACAAATCGGGTCTGAACCGATACCAAAAGATTGGGATCGTCCCCTGCATATTCTCAGACCATAACGCCTTGAAATTAGAACTCAATCACAAGAAGAAGTTTGGAAGGACCTCAAACACGTGGAGGTTAAGGACCATCCTGCTAAAAGATAAAAGGGTCAACCAGGAAATTAAGGAAGAATTAAAAAGATTCATGGAAACTAATGAGAATGAAGATACAACTGTTCAAAATCTTTGGGATGCAGCAAAAGCAGTCCTGAGGGGGAAATACATCGCAATACAAGCATCCATTCAAAAACTGGAAAGAACTCAAATACAAAAGCTAACCTTACACATAAAGGAGCTAGAGAAGAAGCAGCAAATCGACCCGACGCCCAGCAGAAGAAGAGAGTTAATTAAAATTCGAGCAGAACTCAACGAAATTGAGACCAGAAGAACTGTGGAACAGATCAATAGAACCAGGAGTTGGTTCTTTGAAAGAATTAATAAGATAGATAAACCATTAGCCAACCTTATTAAAAAGAAGAGAGAGAAGACTCAAATTAATAAAATCATGAATGAGAAAGGAGAGATCACTACCAACACCAAGGAAATACAAACGATTTTAAAAACATATTATGAACAGCTCTACGCCAATAAATTAGGCAATCTAGAAGAAATGGACGCATTCCTGGAAAGCCACAAACTACCAAAACTGGAGCAGGAAGAAATAGAAAACCTGAACAGGCCAATAACCAGGGAGGAAATTGAAGCAGTCATCAAAAACCTCCCAAGACACAAGAGTCCAGGGCCAGATGGCTTCCCAGGGGAATTCTATCAAACGTTTAAAGAAGAAATCATACCTATTCTACTAAAGCTGTTTGGAAAGATAGAAAGAGATGGAGTACTTCCAAACTCATTCTATGAGGCCAGCATCACCTTAATTCCAAAACCAGACAAAGACCCCACCAAAAAGGAGAATTACAGACCAATATCCCTGATGAACATGGATGCAAAAATTCTCAACAAGATACTAGCCAATAGGATCCAACAACACATTAAGAAAATTATTCACCATGACCAAGTAGGATTTATCCCCGGGATGCAAGGCTGGTTCAACACTCGTAAAACAATCAATGTGATTCATCATATCAGCAAGAGAAAAACCAAGAACCATATGATCCTCTCATTAGATGCAGAGAAAGCATTTGACAAAATACAGCATCCATTCCTGATCAAAACTCTTCAGAGTGTAGGGATAGAGGGAACTTTCCTCGATATCTTAAAAGCCATCTACGAAAAGCCCACAGCAAATATCATTCTCAATGGGGAAGCACTGGGAGCCTTTCCCCTAAGATCAGGAACCAGACAGGGATGTCCACTCTCACCACTGCTATTCAACATAGTATTGGAAGTCCTAGCCTCAGCAATCAGACAACAAAAAGACATTAAAGGCATTCAAATTGGCAAAGAAGAAGTCAAACTCTCCCTCTTCGCCGTTGACATGATACTCTACATAGAAAACCCAAAAGCCTCCACCCCAAGATTGCTAGAACTCATACAGCAATTTGGTAGCGTGGCAGGATACAAAATCAATGCCCAGAAATCAATGGCATTCCTATACACTAACAATGAGACTGAAGAAAGAGAAATTAAGGAGTCAATCCCATTTACAATTGCACCCAAAAGCATAAGATACCTAGGAATAAACCTAACCAAAGAGGTAAAGGATCTATACCCTAAAAACTA